ACACCGATCGTTGCCCCATACAAGTGATCCGCTGGCTCTATAGCCAGCGGATCACCTGTATGTTAACAGACATCGCTGCCTGTTTTTAAATATCGGCTTTTCCCGCTCGCGCGCGCCCATCAGGGGGGGGGCGTGCCTGAGCAGACGTCTAAAGATGCCCGCTCAGATCTAGAGAGCTCCCGGCCGGCCGTTAGTTAAAGCTGAACTCAAAGCACAGAAAATGTCTACATATTTGAACATATCCCTTTAAAGTGACAAAGGATATAAATTAACTTTGTGTACAAAAATAGCAGTGAAATCATGGCTGTACTTAACCTTTGCAGAGAGCAGAGCTCTGTGGGAGCGACCCATCAGGCTCATCCACTAAAGGCTGCCTGCAGAAAACTACAGGAGGGGGCGGATACAAGACCAGTCACTCCAGGCACAAGGAGAGAGAACAGCAGTGACTGGTCTTTATTACAGGAAGCTCTGGCACAGAGGCAAAGTTTAACACCGCACAGATTTATTTACATAAATCAAGAACATCTATACAAAGTGTATAGATGTAGGGACACCAAGGAAGATTACAGTGCTGCAGGGAGGGGAAGACAGGCTGGAGGGAGTGCTATGACTGGTGGCCAGCTGGGAGCTTCAGGTGAGTATATCTTCATTATTTTAGCACCTAGACACATACGAGCACTTCAAGTTTTTTATTTTTTTATTAACTCTTGCAGTGGTACTACCCCCCGCACTGGGTTAATAAAAACAATTCCTGGAGTTCTTCTTTAAATGTGAAACTTGTAATTACAGAATTATATCCTAAATTGTTTCTCCCTAAACTTTATAGTCTTCTGATCCAGCCAAAAGTAAGATTCCAATCTCTGTGGGGTAGCATCTGCCCCAGTTCAGCATTCTCAAAAAATGAGGAATCTTGCCTGATCACTGCTGTGTGCCTGGCACTGGATCTATCTGCATAAGGCTCAGCCTCCCTCTCCACTCTTTACGATTCCGTTGTGCATCCGCATGACAAATGTTGGTGCTTCCCCAGATTCCTGTAGCTGTTGAAACAGGTATATGAATATAAACTCTGGTGAAGTTACCAGTTAATGAATGTACTACTCTGGTGAAGTATGTATATAAATATGGGTCAAGAGCTGTGCAGAGGCGAACTGAGGCCAGAGTGTGCATACTCGACACCCTGTCCCTGTCCTCAGTGCAGCTCAGAAATGCTGACCCTGATCAAATCTCCGGCCATTGCACCTGTCACACAGACAAGCGTAGTGGCCAAGGAGAACTCTGAGAGACTAGTTCCTCATCAGGCCCGCTATGCTGTAGCAGCAAAATAAAATGTAGTTACCTTTGCTCTAACAATAACAAATAAACTTCCTGACCCTGAAGACAACTGGACACCAACAAACAGGTATTTGTTTAATTTCCCCCGGGAATCTTTTTTAAAAACCATCTCCATGGTGCTATCTCTGTTGTCAGCCAGGATCAGCAACAAGGGTACACTGGTTACTAACTTAACAACAATACATCTTGGGTAAAATGGACACCGCAGGCAGAAGCCAATAATGCTAATGACTATAGTTAGGCTCAATTCACACTGCCTGCTGCACTAAATACGCAGCCGCTGGTGTGTGTTGCTCAACAGAGTGCAGATGCACCAATCCTCTTTTTTTTTTTTTCGTAGAACTTTATTGAGAAGTCACAAGTGAAATTTCCTTGCGCTCTATGGGTACAGCAAGGTGCGAGGCAGATGTACTAGCAAATTGCCTTGTCATGCATTGGGACTGCACTGGAAACAATGTATCTGGTGTAAATCAGCCCTTAATCTGACAGAAAATAAAAATATAAAATCCATTATTACATTTTATGTTACTGCTACATTTTCTTTTTGGGTTTCTTTAAGTGGATCAGGACAGGTCTGCCAGTTCTTTGCTGCTGTCTTGGATTTCAGTATGGAGATCCATGCCAGAAATAGAATGAAATCTCCCTAGTGGGACATTTCAGTCAAGGTAATATTATTGCCAGTACATCCTCCATAAATTCTTATTGTGAGTCAACTAAAGAGGTCACAGGACACAGAAATTGTGTTATCATTATCCAATGGAATATGACAGCTTTAGGCCTTGTTCACACCAAGTGCATTCCAGGAGCAGAGCAGTTACAGACCGGAGCAAAACTGCGTCCAATGTATTCCAATGGTATTTTTAGCTCCAGTTCACATTGCAGCGTTCCGGTCCAGAGCAGGTAAAAAAAACTGCAGCAGGCCCTATTTTACCTGCTCTGGAACCCATGCAAACGCATCAAAAATGCATGCAAACACCCTGGAAAGCACTGAAAGCCCGTTTTAAACTTTTATCAAAAACGGCCCGGAACGCATCAAAAACACGGCAAAACCCACTGCACTGCGTGTGCAGAAACTCATGCAGATCTGCTCTGCATTAGGTGTGAACAAGGCCTTAAAGGGACACTAAACTCTCAGATTTTTTAACATAAACCAATACTGTAATGTGTGCCTTACTGTAATCCATGGTAGTTTCCCTTCTCTTTGCTGCTCTTCCTTTTAAATCCTCATGTCTTCTCATGCTAGGGGAGAACTTCCCTTTGCAGCTGAGTGCCTCTTCCTGTAGTGCTGGCTCAGGTTGCAAACCTACACACAGACAACATGTAGCCATTCCAGAGACAAGGCAGTCTGCTG